CATGGAGTTCTTCCTTGTTCTTTTTTACAACCACATAAGATTATATTTTGTATATGGGCCAGAAGTTATTCAACCAATGTACTATGACTGAACATTTAGGTAATTTCCAGTACTTTGCAATTACAAATGCAATGAAGTGGTAACCTTGTGCATACACATTTTTTACTGCGGGAGGTGTGTCTTCAGGGTAAATTCCCAAAAGTATGATTACTGGGTCGAAAGGTAAATATATATATTTTTTCGTTGCATATGGAGGGAGAAATTTTCTGTCTGTTTTGTTCACTCACTGCTATATCTCTGGCTTCTAGGATAGTACTTGGCATACAGTAGACACTCAGTAAGCATTTGTTGGAACGAATGAATGGATAGCGTGCTCCAGTTTCCCATCTTTAAATGAATACACTCTCATGAAACAGGCTTATGTTTTACCAAACTCCTACGTGGCCACAGAAACCATTTTTTACCCTGTCAATTTCCTCTGCTGGTACACCTCGGAGCCGGGCGTAAAGGTAAAGATGTTCTCGCCCTGTGAGCAGGTCATCGATTGCATCAAACTGAGGACAGTAGCCCATGTTTTGATGGACGTCAGAAATATTGGTTAAAATACTGAAAGAAGAAAAAGCAATTACTGAGTTTCTTTTGTGGAGCCTCAGAGAGCTGGGGCTGGAGAAGCTTCCTCCAGCAGGATAAAGAAGCTGCCTCATCTCTTCTCCCAATTTACTTCAGAAATGAGCCCAACATCTGGCAATCAAAGCAGGGGCTTAGAAACTGATGAACTTCAGGAGTTCTGAGCTTTGAATCCAATCAGAGTCTTCCAGGTTTCCATGTCTAGGATAAATTGAATACCTGATACACAAAAGTCAGCTTTGGTTTTGGATTGTGAGTTAAAAACAAAGGGAAGGTCAGGTTTAAGAAAATGATTAGTGATTTTTAATACTTTGGAGACACTTGGGAAGTAGCTAGAAAAGATGGAAGCCTCTCAGTGGAAGTGAACTTCTCCGTGTGTATTTACTGGATGAGACACAGTCAGTGTAAGAGGAACTAATCAGTTAACTACCCAGAGCAAGAGGCTGGCCAGGAGCAGAGATAGAGTGAATTGGCTTCTATCCACTCCCTTTGACATATATTTTCCTCCACTAGGAAATATATCGCCTTGACAAAAAATGGACTGTGTATAGACTTTGGTCTAATCTCATGCTCCCCCCCTCATAGCTTAGGGTCTACGAATAAAGGATGGATGCAAGAGGATGGGACAGAGAGAGGCACTGCCATTCACCACTGTGACAAAAGCCACCAAAGGCATGGGCTGGGCCAATTAAAGCCACCCACGGGAAGCAAGGAGGGTATTTTGCAACCCCACCAGAGAACCCCAATCCTGTGTTTTAAATCTGTAGTTTCTTTCTAGTTTCCGGCTCAGTTTTGCCTTCTGAACATCAGATTGCCTCAAAGGGACCATAACTTGATGTCTCTCGGTGTAATTCCTATTACACCCTCCCCCATCCCTCTCCCTGCTATGACTCCCTTTGTTACCATTGTGAAGCCTGCTTGGTTGCAGACGAGGCTGTGTCTGCAGACAAGATAGACTCAGCCATTACCTGCTCCAGCCCTGCCAGTCCCTTTGCTGTAGACCCAATAGGGATGGCCATGGAAGGCCAGGGAATCAAACCCATCCTTTGTGAGCCAGTGAGGCACTGTCAGGACTTCCCCTGCCCTTTAGGTATTGGACCGTGATCAGGATGGGTTTCAGGTGAGGAAAGGAGGCCTCAGTCAGGTAGATGCTGGGCAGTGCCTAACTCTACCTACAAACCAGAGTAGAGGGTTACTGTGGGCACATCTACTGTGTGTCAGCTTTGCTGTCCAAGTAGCAGCCAGGAAAGAGGCAAATAAGTGAGCGCATCCTCTCTGTCTTGTCTCATAGAGGACCGATTAAACACACCTTATTATAGAAAGCAGCAGTCACCCTCCAGAATCCAAGGGCACATGCCAGTTTTCCCTTTATGCTCCCTGGTCTGGCAAAGGCACGTATGAGTACACAAATAGCCAATGCAGATTAAGGCCTCCTAATTGTCCTTGAATGAGCCCATGTCTAGAAACAACCCAGAGAAAGGATGCTTCATCACAGGGGTTCTTAACCTGAGGTCCAGAAGCTCCTGGAAAATCATAAATGTGCTTCAGGGCTCAGGAAATACCTGAAAAATTTCTGTAAAAATGTGTGAAGGGAGGTAATGGGAGGCAATGGTGTGTTTTTACTGGAAGAAGGTGCAAGTGTTAATCAAATGCTCAAAGGAGTCCACAACCCCCAAGACATTAAGCACCACGTACTTAGTGATTCCCAGAACTTTTCAACAGTCTGTGCTAACAGAGGAATCTCCTAGCAATCACAATTCAATTCAATTTTCCAGTGGGTCTATGTCTTGGAGTTTTCGGACCACACCCTCTGGGGGTCCCTCCTCTGCACAGATCTTTCAGGACCTCAGAGCCACCCCAATATAGGGTCTAATGATCACTCTCCCTATGCTGCAACAGGGACTGTGAGACACCCTGAGACAGGAAGAGCAGTGCACTCACCTCTTGCCTGCTACAGTGGCATCGCCTGAGGTCACTGTGGTGTCCCCAGTAAGCATCTTGAATGTGGTTGTTTTGCCAGCACCATTCACTCCCAGGAGGCCAAAGCACTAGGAGAAAACACACAACTGGCTTCATCCTAGAGACCAAGAGGGTCTGGAATGTCAGGCCCCAGAGCAAGTGTGCAGGCTGGGGGAGGCATCTCAGACCTTGTCTGCCATTACAGAGGCCACTAGGCACATGCGGCTACTGAGCACTTAAAATGTGCCTCATCCCAACTGACAAGGGCCCTACATGTAAAACACATGCTGAATTTGGAAGACGTAGAATGAAAAAAAAAAAGGTAAATTATCTCATTAATAATGTTTTATATTAGTTACAGACAAGGGCCCTACATGTAAAACACATGCTGAATTTGGAAGACGTAGAATGAAAAAAAAAAAAGTAAATTATCTCATTAATAATGTTTTATATTAGTTACATGTTTGTTTGTTTTTTTAAAGATGACCGTTAAGGGGATCTTAACCCTTGACTTGGTGTTGTCAGCACCACGCTCAGCCAGTGAGCCAACCGGCCATCCCTATATGGGATCCGAACCCGTGGCCTTGGTGTTATCAGCACCGCACTCTCCCGAGTGAGCCACGGGCCGGCCCTATTAATTGCATGTTGAAATGATAATATTTTGAATATATTGGGTAAAATAAAAATGTTATTAAAACTAATTTCAATTGTTTTCTTTTTACTCTTTTCATGATACTACTAGAAAATTTTAAATTATGCACATGGCTTGCATTATATTCCTACTGGACAGCTCTGCATTAGAGGGGAGAAGAGTCGTGCACAAGAGCAGATTTTCTGAAGCCCTGCCACNAAAAAAAAAAGGTAAATTATCTCATTAATAATGTTTTATATTAGTTACATGTTTGTTTGTTTTTTTAAAGATGACCGTTAAGGGGATCTTAACCCGTGGCCTTGGTGTTGTCAGCACCACACTCTCCCGAGTGAGCCACGGGCCGGCCCTATTAATTACATGTTGAAATGATAATATTTTGAATATATTGGGTAAAATAAAAATGTTATTAAAATTAATTTCAACTGTTTTCTTTTTACTCTTTTCATGATACTACTAGAAAATTTTAAATTATGCACATGGCTTGCATTATATTCCTACTGGATAGCTCTGCATTAGAGGGGAGAAGAGTCGTGCACAAGAGCAGATTTTCTGAAGCCCTGCCACGTGTGGTCTGCAGGGTACCCACCTCTCCAGGGCGGACTCCGACACACAGCCTGTCCACCGCTGGGCTGAAGGTGCCTGAGTAAACCTGCAAGATCCGGAGAAACTGGACTGAGGATCGAGGCAGGGTTAGAGCAGGGAGGCAAGAGGGAGCAAAGAGCAAAGCATGGCTTAAGAGAAAACTACAAGGAGGCTACACATTGACATGGCTGTTCAGAGAGGTGCTGTGACCCACGCTGTGCAGAAGCGGAGTGGAGGAAGATGAGTGATGCTCAGAGTGGCTCTCGCTAGGCTCTGTGTCAGTGTCCAAGGTGAAGAGCAGGGAAAATGCATTGGAATTAGATGTTCTAATTCAAAGTATGACACAGAGACACAGAGTTGATGGCCCTACATAAAGTTAGGAAAACAAACTGCTTGCATAAGCATATTGTTCCACAGAAGGAGAATGACAACGTTGTGCCATCTGCATGTCCAGCCAGCAGCTCCAAACTAACATGCCTACACCTATTCCCTTACCTTGGTTAGTTCATTTAGACTTAAGATATCAGTTTTATTTCCCCCACTAAGAATTCTTTGTCTTTCTTCAGCCACGTCCTCATCTTCATCAACAATAGGCTCCTTAGCGGGCGCGGCAGTCCTAGAAGAAGGAAAGGGGGCAGGATTGGGCTGGGGGTACAGCGTCCTTGGTACTGCCCTTTTCCTCTGAACTTTCTTCCCATTCTCTCCCTTCTGCTCCTGCCTGGGCTTCCATCACCCAGGCTGAAGTGCAAAAAGGGCTCCCAGTGGGAGAGGCATCAGGCTTTAGGCAGATAGGTCAAGAGCTCACATCCAGAGGCAGCCCTGAGTTCCAGTCCTGGCCTCCCCATGCATGACCGTGCACATGTCACTGGATGTCTCTGAACCTTGCCTCCTTCAGCCATATGATGGGAATAATAATACCTATGTCACAGGATTGCGGTGAAGATCAACTTGGCACAGTGCCTGGTACAGAGCGAAGACTCAAAACCTGGGAGCTGTTTCATTACTAAAACCCTTCCTCATGACAAGCACTCAGTAAAGTCTAGTTACTACCAACCAAGCTTTCTACTTCCTCCAGTCCACCCTGCCACCTTGACCTCTTCAAAACAGTGCTGTCATCAGGTCACCTCATACCCTAAAACTTTCTGTGGTTCTCCATCAGCTGTAGGTAAAAGCCCTAAGTCCTCAGCTGGAGTCCCAGAGCCCTGCTGCAAGGGCCCCACCTGCCCTTCCCACTTGTCTCTTGCACTAACTCCTCCACCAGCCACTGGCATCTATCCCTGGTCCCCTGCCCGTGTGGGCCATTCCCACCCCCAGCCTCGCACACGTTTCCAGTCTTTCAATGTTCTCTTCCTCCTGCCTGCCAAGTGGAATCCTCTCCATCCTCAAAGACATAGCCTGTTCTCTGAAACTCTCCCTGACCACCTTGGCCTAGTCTTCCCTTCCTCCCTCACTGGCCACATCCAGTCTATCACTAAGTCTTGTCTAACAAACTTCCTACTGTTTATCCAGTCAACCTATTTTCCTCCATCTCCTGATGCCCCCACCCTTATCCAGGCCACCATTGTCTCTTGCCTGGGTACCAAAAGGGTCTCCTGTCTGATCTCCCTGCTTCCAGTCCTGGCAGATCACGTCACTCCCCTGATTATAAAACACCCTAAGGGGTCCATGTTGGCCTCAGGCTTAAGTCCCAAGTCATCAAGGTGAGGGACATTCATCATTCGGCTCTGCCTACCTCATCAGACTCCTTCCCTTGCCCCCTTCTCCTTTCACAGCTATCCCTCGTGTAGGCCCTGTCCTAGCTATCCCTGGCTACCTCTCAATATTGGCTGTGAGCTTCTGGAAGCCAGAGACTGTGGCTTCTCTGTCCTCCTTAGTGCCTAAAGCAGGCAGGACTCACTGAATTGTGTTGACATCAGTCTAATGAGCTGGTTATGGTAACCAAACCTCTGCCCCTCTCCCCACACACAAAGGCTTCTAGAAGATGTGGCCAAAGTTGCAGAGGAGCCTGCAAGGGCTGAGGGTCCCAAGGACAATGATTTCTACCACTGTCTCCCAGAACTAGAACCACTTCCTGTTCATGTTTTATTCAAAGGGTGTTGACGCCCATGATCTCATTCAACTTCACCACCCTGGGAGAAGGGAGGTAGATTCATTTGCAATAAATTAACTCACTATGGATCAAAACCTAAAAACAAGTCCTAGGAATCTTTATTTACATGTGACCAGACTCAGCTGAGAGGAGGAAAGGTTAAGAAACAAAACACTGTCCTGAAAAGCTTGTTAGGAGGGCCCAGGGATTTGCAATTCAGGCCCCTGGGTGAGGCCAGTAATTGTGGCATGGGTTGCAGAGGGGCTGCCCTCTGGAAACCTGAGCCCCAGCTCAGAATGGGGCAGGGGCTGCAGGGGAGGCCAGCTGACATGGCAGCTGAGAAGTCCTGGTGGAGAGTCAGAGTGGGCAGCTACCCGCCACCCGTCCAGGGTCCTCCACCGCCCAGCTATATTCACGTGGCACGTGGCCCCCACATCACTCCCTCCTTCCCTGTTCTGCCCCACTCTCAAATCTCTAATTAGCAAAGGGGTCTGCTTTGTCTCTTTTCTTGTGAATATATATGTCTATTCACTAGTACTTTGGATACACCTTAATCGTTGCCATTTGCAATGTTAACGTCCAATTTAAAATGAGTATCTAGTAATTAAACAAGAAGAATTAAATATTAGATATTTAAGCTAATAACATTGTTTTCTAAATATTTTAAGGTTGAGTCACAAATTCCAATGTTTCTATTTAATCCATCTCTCCTTGCATCATTCAGAACAAGCCAGGCTTTGAGAAGGTAAAAACCACCATGGAGAGGTGCTCCTGAGGAAAGAGATGACCACGCCAGTGTGCAGTCCAGTCCTGGACATGGGACGTATGGCCTGGACATACCACTGGGTGAGGAGGAAGTGGTGCTGGATGAGGAGGGTCAGGAGGAAGTACACCACCCCTTCCACCGCCATGGCCACCAGGTTCTTCCCGATCAGGTCCCACTGGAACGGATTTGAAGAGTGCTCCTCACCTGGAAATCAACAGGAACTGAGTCTGCCAGTTGCCCCGGCTCATCCCTAAAGACCTGGCTGCCACGCTAGGCCCAGCTAGACCACGCTTTATGCAAGGGATTAAGCAAGAGCCAAACACAAGTCTCAGTTTGGCTCCCCAAGCCAGAGTCGGGAAGAGCAAAAGCCTGTCCTTGACCCCTCCTGTGGCTCCTCAGCCAGGGAAAAGGGGGCAGTCTGATCCCTTCTAGTGGCAGGACAATCCCTGACCAGCAAGCTGCCATCCCAGCCCCAGCTCCAGCCCTGGGTGCAGGTCTGATGTAGGAACTCCCGCTGTAGCCCTCCCAGCCGTGATGGATCCGGTGCCCACCAAACCGGGCATAGACGTCTGTCACAGCCTGGCTCAGCGCCAGGTCAATGAGGCCTCGGCCGAGGCAGAAATGGGGGAATATGACAAGCAGCTTCCTCAGCATGGCGTTGAGCCTGAGCAGCGTCTGAAAGAGAGAAGCAGGACTTTGGAAGTGGGAGCCAAGCCTACCTGCCCTCTCCTGAGCAGGGGGGCCCAGATGCCCTCAAGAGGCAGGACCAGGGGAAGGCCTGTAGACACAGGCGTCCTTGCAGCCAGACTGGCCACAGAGAAATTTTTCAAGAAGAATATAGGGGGTTTAATATGGAAGCCCTGAAGTACTTGCAGGAGGTGCCTTAGGACTAGGACAAGGAACTGATTAATTAATGACTAATCGATGACTGGGGCTCCCTGCAAGTTTCTGGTGGGCAGGCTCTGCCCCTTCATCTAGCCAGGCAGCATTTTGTAAACATTTACTATGTCCAGTACTGTGTGGGCACTGAGGCTAGCTGTCTTTCCTTAACCCCTAGGAGGCTCTGTGGGCAAGGGTAGGAATCTGCGGTGGGAATCTGTGGAGGAACAGCAGCCCCCTGCTGTCTGCTTGAGGAGCTCTGGCTGCATCACTTGGGAATTACATGGGAATTACATGGTGAGCATGTGTTACCAGGAGCTGCACCAGCTGCTGGGAGTGTGGCTGGAGTCTCTCCTTTGGTGCAGCTGTGAACCAGCCCTGGGGACTGGGGCACCTCCTGTAAGCAACTATCTTAGCCCGGCTTGTACCAAAGGGGAGCAGGGCCCTGAGCCATCTCCCAGCGCTGCTTCTCAGCTCCTCACAGGGCAGCTTTGAGTGTTTGGGGAGAAAAGAGGGTTATAGACCCTCTCTGGGGTCTGTGTTGAGTTTGGGGACCTGTTCTCAGGTGGTCAGACTGTGCTGCCTCAGACTTGGCCTCCTGGGCACAGCCTCCCCCAAAGAGGTAGAAGGGACACTGAGGGGGCGAGGCTGGCGAAGCTCCCGGCTGGGCCACTGCTGTGCACTCCATCTGGCCCATCCCAACCCCACAACCTGCTACCTCTCCAGTCTCCACAGCCATGCTCACACTACCTCATCCCCCTCCTTCTCTGCACCTCCCCCTCACCCCATCTCCAGGCCTTTGCACGGCAGTTTCTTTTATTCATTGCTCCTAGCAGGAAAGGATGCTCTTTCCCTCCTGCTCTCTGGCAGATTCCTGCTCTGCTTTAGAAATCTTGCTCAGATAGCCCCTTCTCTCATAAGCCTTCCCAGGCTCCCACGGTGATATGTCCATTTTACCATGTGCATGGGAACATGGTAAGTACTGTAAGAGAGGAGCCAAGAAAGTCACGCTCACCCGGTTCGTCTCAAATAATTCCAAGATGAAGGTGATGGCACTGCTGTTGATGCCGATGAACAGATTAGCACAAGACAAAGCCACATAGGCTGTGCTGGGGACATCAAACAGGAAGGATGCTGGGTACATCATGGGAATGACTGCCCACCTGTGTGAAATGACACAGCTCAGTGGGATGGAGCTTCAACTTCCATTCCATCTGCTGTACCTCTATATATAACGCATTCCCCTCACACATGAGATGACATCTTTCAACCAGCCAGAGTCCCAGGGGGACCAGAGAGAGACTCCCTCCCTTGGTTTCTGTACCTCAATTTTAAATGGAGATAATAATGCCTGCCCTGCCCACCTTGGGGGGTTTGAGAGGAGTAAACAAGACAGTAGCTGTGCACATACTCTGTAAGTTAGGAAGCTTATACAACACATAGGAGGCTCTCTGCCTTGGGATGCCTCCCACCCTAGCCTGGACCAGCAAAGCAGAGCCGAAGGTGCCAGCAAGCTCATCTCCACAGTTCGCTGGTCAGTTCACAGTCACGTTGGTTCCCGAACTCTCTATTTCCAGGAAAGATGAATGGAAACCATTCTGGCTCTGGCAAGAATCTAGTGGCTCACATAGGAAGGGCCAGGTATCATTTCCACTTTACAGATTAGGAAACTGAGGCCCAGATGGGTGCATTACGTGTCCATAGTTACACATGCAGTAATGCAAGGTCTGGGATATAAAGTTGCCTGCTTTGCTCTATAATTCTACTGAACTTAGCCCCTGTGTCATCCTCTGGCTCTGACTCAGAGCAGCTTCTCAGTTGGAGTCCTACTGTGTGCAAATAACACTTGACCAGTCCAGATGGAAATAATGAGATGGACAGATTTGCCTCACATAAATCAGAACCAGAGCTGGTAAGGAGCTAGGGAGTGACCAATTCCCAGACTTTGGTCAAGGCCACAGTTGGAGCAGGAGAAGATTCAGATCATGTGGGGCTTCTCTCATTGTCCCTGAATAGACCAGGCCTCAGAAATACCTTCAATGGTGGAATCAGAAACAGAAGCGGGACAGATTCCTAGTTAGCAGCCACAGACCCTGCCCGGGGCTGGAAGCTACCCTTGTGCATAATACCCCTCCCTGGCTTCCCTGTGGTGGCATTACCCAGTGACCCAAACAACTTACCCATACAGCATGAGCAGTGCGACAAGGGCTGGAAGATTCTGTGGAGAGGTGTAGGCTTTCTTCTGAAAGCCGATGAAGATGCCCACCACCAATCCAGCACTGACAGCATAATTCATCTTGAAGAGAGAAGAGGAGAGTGAGCACTTCACCCCCCCGCCCCCCACCACTGCTTCCTGCTCTGCACAATGAGAGGTGGGATCAGGATCCTCCAGCTCTTAAGGTCTGGGATTCTGGTTCTGTTTGTCTAAACAGCTCTTCATTAGCAAATGTATGCTAAGCTATCCCTAGACCTCTTACCCAACCTCCCTGCTCAGGGAACCTTCAGTCTATGTCTTTTGAAAGAATGAATTACAAAATTGCACCTGATTTCTCTTTCTCATTGGCTACGAAGTCCCATTGATTCTACTTTCTAAGCATGTCTCCAGAATTCAGAAAAATGTAAAATATAGTCTTTGGCTTCACGAAGCTCAAATAGACAATGATCCCCTTTCTAAACAATTCAGTCCTAAAGCCATTAGGTTGGGCACGGAAGGGTGGGCAGCCTCATTAGAGTTGGGGAGGAGGCACAGTGGTCTTGAGAAGGATGAAAACCTGAGAAGGTGAGGAGGACGTCCTGCAGAGGGTGGCCTAGTGTGGGGTGTCAGAGTCCCAATGGAATGTGGCAGGTGCTTTTATAGGGGGTTGATCTAGTATGGAGTACCAGAGCCAGAGCCACATGAGGAGGACCTCCACACAGCTGGAGCAGGGGACAGGAAGGTGTCTGTATGGGGTGGGGATAGTGGCAGAGATGGGGCACTTAATACATACAAGTGTATTGCTCAGGTAGGTAAATGAGTCGGGAGTGATAGAAGCCAATTTCTCACTCTTGGAGAAAGGAGTTATGAATATGGAAAGACAGAAAACCAGAATGAGCACTGTATCATTGGATTGTAGCTAGAGGTTTTGGTGAGCTCATAGTGTTTGATGTATGGATAGATAGATAGATAGATAGTGAAATATAGATGTAAATATGTGTATATATATGTACCTACATACATGTCTTTCCTAGTTCTTTCTACTGAGAGCACCTGGGACCAATGATACTCCAGTGGCATGAACATATCTAGTACCCAGATCTTGGTTTCTGAGGGCCATTTTCTGCTAGAAGGATCCAGAGCTCCTTGGGGAGATGGTGGATTCAGGGTAGGGGTGCAGGGAGGTGCAGGATGAGCCTAGAACATCCTGCTGTGCCAGAGAGCACGGAGGTGCCCAAGGAGGCCAAGACCACAAGTCAAGAGGATACAAAAGCCAGGCTGAAGGGACTCCCACTGGCCCCACTAGGGATAAACTGAATATCAAAATAAATAATAAGGGTACTGGAACATTCCATTGATTAACACAGGAACTGTGACTGCATACAGATATAAATAAATAAATGAATAAATGGAAAGTCTGATAACAAACAGGATATTTACATATCTTCAAAATATCTCTCCCCAAAATTCTTATTAATTGTGTAGGGGAAAAGAGTAACTGTACAGTGAAGAAGCTCAGTAGATACCTTCTTAAGTGACCAAAGTGAACATCAGCAGTAATAGGGCAAACTGAGATCAGAAGCTACCTGGTAGGACGCAGTGAGAGAACACAGCATCCGGCCCGGAAAAGAGTAACTGTACAGTGAAGAAGCTCAGTAGATACCTTCTTAAGTGACCAAAGTGAATATCAGCAGTAATAGGGCAAACTGAGACCAGAAGCTACCTGGTAGGACGCAGTGAGAGAACACAGCATCCGGCCTGCGATTGTGCTGCCAGAGACGCAAGCCTCAGTTTAATCATGAGGAAACCTCAGGCAAACCCAAACTGAAGGACATTCTGCAAAATAACGGGTCTGTAATCTTCAAAAGTGTCAAGGCCATGAGTGTTAAGGAAAGACTGAGGAACCACTCTAGACTGAAGGAGACTAGAGACAAGACAACTAAACGCAATGGATGATTCTGAGCTAGATCCTCTTCTGGAGAAGACATTGTTGGGGCAACCTGGAGAACCTTGAGTGGGGTCTGAGGATTAGGTGGTAGTCAGGCCTCAGCGCTGGTTTCCTGAGGTTGACGATTGTGTGCGGGTGTGTGCGGCGTGTCCTTGTTTGCAGGAGATACATATTGGGGGTGCTGGTGTGTGTGAGAGAGAGAGAGAAAGAGAGAGAGAGAGAACGGGCATCTTAAATGGCCCAGAAAAAAAAAAGTTTTGAACTGTACTTACAAATTTTCTGTAAGTCTGTGATTGTTTCAAAATTTAAAAGAAAAACAGATGACACATATAAAAAGATAAGAATTTAAAACATCATTTATGTGCTAAGTGAATGACATAAAGAATAATTGTTCATTCATTCAACAATGACCCCAAGCATGTGTCATCTTTTTGTCACTGGCTGATGAGGGTGCTAAGTTCCAACGCTGTAGATGCTCGAGTTAGGATTCCAGGTCTAGAGTCTCGGGAAGCTGGCTGACAGGATACCCACTGTCTTCTGACCCTTTGTTAGACTTTCAAGTGTCTACCTTACTAGTGTCACCTCCCACCCCAGACACCCACTCTATTCTTCCAGCCACATATCTCTCTGTAGGCTCGAGATCTCTGTCTGTAGCCATACGCACATGGGTCAGTCCAAGGGTAAATTCCATTTCTTGTCTTTTAAAAAAAAATGTAAAATTAAAAAACCAGCACTTTAATAAGTAGCTTTTCAGTGCAGGTGAACCTAGCTCCTTTCATGTTAAAATCACAGGGTCAATATGGCGCCTGCAAGTGACGTTCTTGTCCAGAGAGAGGCTTGTAGGTTCTGACCTCCTCCCCATGTGTTCATTGGTGTTTTTTCACACAGATGGAAGAGAGAGGAAAGAATCTAGTTGTTACTGATAATTTTTAGTTTTGTATTGTTAAGCGATAGCTGCTTAGAAAGTTGAGTAAAATAAAAGAAATCATGTCTCCAGGAATCCTAATATTCACCATCGTTATTAAAAGCCATAATGGTCTCCATCAGTTGATATATTTTATCACACAAAGTGGAGGCTCACGTTGATCTTAGAACGTTGAGGTAAAACAAAGACTCTCATTACTCAAGACACCCAGAATAGACTGGGATTGTTTTCATAGTGATCCCTGCCACATTACAAGTAGGCCTTTGTTCCCAGTGCGTTGGACCCCACGGGCTGTCATAAGGTGCCCCACCCTTACCCCCCTTGCCCCCACCAACCTTGGCTGTGAGACAGGTGGAAGTCTACTGCTGATGTGATAAATAACTTTTTCTTCATTTTCCCTAAAGTGGTGGCTAATCTGAAGTATAGTGAAGGTCTAGTTTCTTCAGGAAAGCAAAATAAGGCCACTGGGTAAAGCTGCCACACTTGGCAAAGAAAAATACAGGATGCCCAGTTAAATTTGAACTTCAGATAAACAACGAATAATTTTTCTAGTATAAGTATGTCCCCTGCAATATTTGAAGTGGGATATACTTATTCTAAAAATTATTCATTGTTTTTCTGAAATTCAAACTTAACTGGGTGTCCTATATTTATCCGGCAACCCTACTACAGGGCAAATTCCACACTTACTCTTCTGGTGGTGGGGCAGCATTTGACAAGGGGATGTGCGGGCGAAGGTATTGGTATAGGTATGACCCCCTCAGCTCTGGACTGTGCCCAGGAAGGCCAGCCTCCTGCCTGCAGTGCAGCAATTATTAGGTGGGTCAGAAGCCCCTTGATATAGGACACAAAGAGCTCCCCTGAGCATCTGTTGAGCTGTGCCCCACATCCTTCCCCAGCTTTGGGCTCCTAGTTCTGTGCCTTTCTAAGAAGATGTCAAGAGACAGCAGACACACACGGCCCTCGGCCCAGCACCCTCCAGCAGTCCTGGCGGTGTGAGAATCCCTCCCTGCTGTGTCCCCTCGGTCGGAGCACACACAAGTGCCGCGTTAGGCCCATGGAGGGGCCGTGACCGTGATGGGCCCATGGAGGCCTGGTGACACTCACGATGTCCCAGAGGAAGTTGGTCAGCCAGTAGGTGGGGGGGCTCACTCCACTGATAAACTGGAGGTGCTTGGCCTTGTTCACCCTCTCCTGGATCAAATAGAGGACGAAGCTGGCTGGGACGAAGGACATGGCGAAAATCACACAGATGGCAACCACGGCATCCACCGAAGTGGTCAGCCTGCAGCAGGGCCGGGACAAGGGAGAGAGAGATGAAGAAGGAGGAGCAGAAGCAGGAGAAGACGCAAAGTCGGGCTGGGAAGTCCGTACCCAGCCCAGGCACGGCCTCCGGATTCCCCGCCCCTGTTCCTGAAGCTCGTCACTTGGCTGAACTGTCTTAATCAATCTGGGTCAAGGTTGAGGGAAGTGTGGGTTGTCTTTCTGCTCCATGTGAATATTTCTTTTCATTACGTTTTCGAATTACTTGTTATGCTATACAGAAAGAGATTTTCTATTAATCTCAGATACTGCAATGCTCTTATTAGCTGTGATAATTTGACTATAGTTTCTCTTGAATTTTCTATGTAGACAGCCATACGGTCTTGTTAAATCACATTTTCGAGAAGCACATCGTAACACGGGGAAGTGTTCATAATGTAAATTTAAGTGTAAAGACAGCAGGCAAGTTGCACAGGAGCTTGGCTCTATTCACCCTTTCTGGGATTGAACAGGAGACATCTGGCTAAGTGGGTGGGTGGGGGCTGAAATCCAGCCCGCACTTTACGTACAAGCCATACCCCTAGCCTGGGACAGTGCCCACCCACAGAAAGGAGTCCTTTTACTCATCCCCAGAAAGGCCTTGTGGGTGCTGGTCACTGCCCTGCTGAAGCTATGAATCACATCGTTCACACACATAGTGAGCACAGAACACGCGACTGGAAGGAAAGAGAAAAATGCTTCGAGAAAAGACCCTAAACTATGCAGTGTTATAGATCATAAGCTCCTAAAACTCTATTTTATAAATGTATTTAATGAACATATAGTATCTTATAATCACAGAAAGACTCCTATTTCATGTTTCATGTTCAGAAGGTTTGGCAGAAGGTAGAGAAGTTTGGGCTGAGTGAGAATTAACATAGGACAGTCTAGGGCCCTGGCGGGTGTCCAGAGGAAGTCATCCAGGGCCGAAGTCCCAGTTTTAGCAGATGACACTGGTCATGCTCGGTAGCACTGAGTATATACTGAGAAACTGAAATCAGGACCACACAACCTTCCAGAAGAAGTTTGCACTAACAGAGGCACTCCCACCAACCCCTCCTCCACATAGGCCTCGGATTGCACAAACACTACAGAAGGCACAAGATCGTTGTTTTTACTGCCTGAAGCTGTGCCATAAAAGCCTAAGTTTGAGGAGGCAAAGATCTGTTGACATCTCCAAAGCATGACCATCTGAGGAAAATTACCAGGATCTCAGATAATTACCACTGGGAGATGAAAGATTTACTGAACTTTCCCAATTCCTGGCAGCCATTTGGCATTTTGCTTACTGACAAGGAGAATATTTGTGTAAACTCCAGGAGCAATTTGCTATCAAGGGAATGGAACGCAATATAAGTGCTCTTTCTAAACACATGTGGGGAAGGAACAATGACCCAGCGGCTTGGCCATTTTTGGCACATGAAGCATGTGCAAGTCTTACATTCATATGTGCCTGATTAAACAACACTGTCATCAGCCCAGCTCTACACATTTGTGAAAATCCTCTCTGCGTATCCAGAAAGTGGAGAAGCTGACGAGAAAGCCGTGGTGCTGGTGGCTTACACTGTAATCTCTGAGAGCTGCTCCTTGGTCAGGTTCAGGGGGTGGCTGATGAGGGTGATCCCGTACTCCTCGGCGCTCTTGTCCTCCTTCAGGCTGGCCCGCAAGATGGCATTGTGGGCCACGTTGAGAAAGCTGACCAGGGCATGCCAGCCTTTGTTGTTAAACCACACCTAGAGGGTGGAGATGGTGGCTCTGTTAGGCTGTGCTATGATGTGAGACCTGAGACGCTGCACTGACAACAGCTGTTTGAAGAAGAAAGTAGCGACAGGAAAAAGAATGTGAGAAGGAGGAAGGGTTTGGCAGCTGGAAGACATTCCTCGCTAGATTTCAGCAGGAGGAGGGATAAAATTTAATTACGCTGGGAAGAGAAAAATAAAATAACCAGCTCGTGTGAATTTTTAGCTCTAGGGCGGATTACGCAGATCACGTACCTTAATGTTGTCTTCAGTTTCCAGATGTTTAAGGAAATCAGACATTTCTTTTGAGGCCTCTCTGGTGATAGGGCCCTAAAAAAATGATAAACAAGCAAGGTTTTTTTTTTTTTTTTGTCTGTAGCACTCATGATGATTTCCTAATTCATGATAATTACACAAGCCAAAAGTCCTACCCAAATCTCCACTCTGTTTACATACCCCGCTCACATTCATTATCTTGCCAAGTTCGCTTAAAAAACCCACAAGGGCTTCCCCAGTGATGGGGACAACCGGGAGCTTTCCTCCGATGGAAATTCCTCCATACCTGACAGAGCAACAAGAAATCCACACATCAGTGCCATGAACTTCATGCCTCCCAGTAGCTCTCAGTTTCTGTAGGAAAACATGGCTTTGGGGGGAATTGTCTGCACTAGCGAGCAGCATCGCTCCACATTACAAACCAACTTTTAACTCTTCCCCATTGCTGGCTCCAGGGTGGAGTTCAGACCCTCGCCCTGGCGTTCAAGGCCCTTCTGAGTCTGGTCTCGGCCCCTCTCCAACTTCATCCCTCCTCGAACCCTCCTTGAGTGGCTTATTTTGGCCATGTCGAATCATTTCCAGAGCTCCAACTGGTCCAGGTTGCTTTTGTGTCTCTCTGCCTTTGCAGGGCTGCTGGCTTCTCTGGGGTGCCTCTCCCTTTCTTGGGCATCTGGACAACTCCAACTCATCTTTCATATGCTGTCTTCTCTTTGAAGTCTTCCCTGACTCCTCCCGCCCCAACCAATGATTCCTTTTCAGTGCCCCCTCTGTACTTTCAGGGACTCCTGGCAGCATTGGACACACCTTCATCTAATCAGGACCAAGTCCTGCCATCACTATCTCGCAGTGCCCTCCCCCGACCCCTGGCTTAGGCAGGCCCTCACCGTCTCCTGCCTTGACTCTTGCTCTAGCTTCTTGACTGGGATCCTAGCCTAGGGCTCCATCCAGCTTTACTGCTCTGGAAGTCTAAAGTGACTGGGCTAAAACACCAATCTCAGCATGTCATTCTCTGGCTTAAAACTCTTCAGTGACAGGATAAAAGCCAAACTTCTCAACAGAACAAAGTTAATGTGCTGGTTAAGCAAAGCAGAGGAGGAGATATTTATTTCTCAGGGCCTCAAATTGTCACCTTACCCCCACTTTCTGCTTCAGCTGAGGCCTTACAGCCCCCTCTAGAGAGCAATTCTAAAAGCTGGATTTCACTTTTATGGTCTAGAATCCACCCAGGAAAGCAAGCCAACATCAGCCCTGTGCTCGTTTAGAGATCCAGTTCCTGAGGGAGGCTGGGAGGCAGCTCACTCCAAAAACGCCCACTGAAGATTCTCCAAACCTCCAGAGCCACTGAGCCTTCAGGAGGCCTCAGGAATGGGGTGAGTCTGGGGCCAGGCCAGATACCCTGAAGCTTAAAAGGAATGGACCAAGAAGTGTCCAAGGCTTAGGTTACGAGTCCCAGTCATTGGAGTATTCTAAACCGTTATGTGCTTGGACGTTTTAGAACCTCCTTTGGGTGAGAATGCCCTAGAACTCATCAAAGAATATCATCTCCCATTTATGTCATCCAAAGAGATATTCCACTGAGAGTCTTCTGAGTCCAGGGTGTCCCTGGCCATATATCTTCCACGCCTATGAATTCCTGAGCACATACAGAACAGCTCATCTACATGGTTTTGAAGTGTGGCTTTTTAAATGTGCAATTATTTTAAATAAATCAGTCTGAGATATCAATTTCTTATAAAAATAGTTTCTTACCTCTGTTCGTTGACCCAGAATTTGCTCTTTAAGCTGAAAGCCAAAATAAAATCATGCAATGAATATGGCATGGCAGTAGTGTTAACTTTCCTTCCCAAAAGGTCATGGGGATGTCTCAGTCTTCAGGGGTATTTTTGTATTTCTGATATCTAAGCAGTCTGGAAGCCACCTAGCCCATGGGTTGAGCCTGAATACACATGAAGAGAAAGGACTGATATTTTCCACCATTGGCTCTCCAAGTCACACACTGCATGCTGAACTTTCTGAGTGGCTCTGCTGTCAGGCCATATGTCAGAACAGCATGACTGATCTGGAATCCAAAAACATGGCAGTGACCATGGCAGTGACCATGCCAGTGTGGAGTGAAGCTGTGGCCCTGCAGCCCTCCCCTCTTCCACCCTGCACAAATGAGACACTAATAGTCCCCTGCGCACCTGAGAGGAGTTCTGATTACTCCACAGCCCAAAGTTAAGACATTGACTTTTAGACAATCTGGGGTAAAATTACAAGATGGAAAATGAGCAGGCACCAGCCCTAGACCCGAGTTCAAATCCATGAACTGTCACTGTCATCAACCACCAAGCACAGAAAATACAAAATCCTATATTGCACATTTGCTGTGGAGAGCCAAGTTTGGGTTGGTTGCTGTTTACTGCGTTATTGAGTAAACTCTGCTTTTATTTTGGGGCTTGGATGGCATTCTGCGTTTTGGTAAGTGGGGCATGGTGCCGCCTTTGCAGCAGCTGCTGTCACCATCTGCAGTGTGTTCTAGTTAATTGAGTTCATTTATCCCTTGTTCAGGGCTCTGGTAGGGAAAGTGACTAAAAGTACTACTCAACTTAGATAGTATATGTGTTATTTTAAAGCCCCAGAGCATGTGCAGACTAGATCACGCTTTCTTGTGACCCTCTCTCTGAAGCATGCTCTTGTCCAGCTGCTCGCCCTGCTAGGAGCTGCTGAAGCCATTCCATCCTGGGGTGGGGCTTATAAAACAGCTGCAGAGCCAAGAGAATTAGATATTTATTGCAGAGTCCATTGGCATTTTAAAGGACAGTGATAACATGATAATTTATAGTTAGAATATGACTGCTGCAGTGAACCTGGCTCGGGACGAGCTGCTGAAGCCATTCCATCCTGGGGTGGGGCTTATAAAACAGCTGCAGAGCCAAGAGAACTAGATATTTATTGCAGAGTCCATTGGCATTTTAAAGGACACTGATAACATGATAATTTATAGTTAGAATATGACTGCTGCAGTGAACCTGGCTCGGGACCCTGGCCTAGGGACGCACTCAGACACTATCCTACTGCCTCTTTCCTGTATTGGTCTGATTTTTTTCCTTTCCCCTCTTTGCTTTTTATTTTTCCTTCTTCTTTCTTTTTCCTTTACCTTTTCCCCTTTACTCCCATTCTTCCTTCAAATTTTGTCTCTCCTTGTTAACTAGGCCGCATTATTGAATAAATTTAGTGCTTTTCTGATATTACTTTTAATAGTGCCTCTGTTAAATGTTGACAACTTGCCCTAAGCCTAAAAACCAAAAAACAAAGTTAATCTCAAATTGCATTTTATTTGTATATGCTTCAATTGCTTTTTCTGAGGCCCTCAAATTAGGAAAAAGAAAAAATTCCACTGCCTTGATCATAGATAAATTGTGAGAGTAAATTATCTTCTGTCCCTAGCCAATATTTTCTACAAGGAGCCAGGATGAAAACCATAAAAGGGTCTCTTCTTACCTGCTTCTTATAAGAGCAGGGTACGTTTTTACCAAGAAGTCGGAGATGTTCCTGTTCGTGAGGTCTTGTAGAATTTCAGTGCTGCGCTGCGTTCTCTGAGACAACGAGACACCCCACATTAATTACTTTGGAATTTGAGGCCTGACAGTTGGTGAGACAGCCTGCTCTCCTCCAAAAGTCATTTATGGGCTCAGCGGCTGGCATCTCCCTAGTTCCCACATCAGTGATGTGGGTGTCTTCTTTGATCCCCCTTTTTTTCTCCAATCCATTGAGAAGAAACAATGGCTTAACCCTGGAATAAATCTCCACTCCCTCTGTGTCTCTCCCGCTTAAATACCACTGCCTCAGTGCATGCCACCACCTAGACCTCCATAGAAACTTCTAAACTGGTCTCCCCGATCCCACCTTGCTCCTCCACGTTCCACTCTCCACCCCATAGAAACTTCTAAACTGGTCTCCCCGATCCCACCTTGCTCCTCCACGTTCCACTCTCCACGCAGCAGCCAGACTGAGCTTTAAAAACATAAATCAGAACACCTCGGTCCCCTTGCTTACCACACTCCAATAAACCCTAGGATCAAACCTAAGCTCATCAAGGCTGACGTGGCCCTGCCCTTGGAGCTCAGCCGCCGGCCCCGTGCCTCACCCCCACCACTCTCCCTGTCCCTCTGTGGGCACCCGTCATTCCCGATCAAGCTCTGCACTTGGCGGTTCACTCTGCCTAGAAACTCTAGCTGCAGAACCTCACGTGGCGAACTGTCAGCCCGTGTTTTAGTCCTCAGACAAGTGTTTTCTATTTCCAGTCATTCTCCATCATAACACAGAGGTTTTCCCTCTGATGGCTCCGTTCGCTTGTTTTGTTAATCTATTATTCCCCTGTAGGATATAATTTCTATGACAGCAGGAACTTTGCCTAACTTGTTGGCTGCTGTGTCCCCAGCACACAGAATAGGACCTGGCCTGTAACTGACACACAATAAATTTGTGACATGAATGAAAGAATTTGAATAGTGCATTACAATTTACAAATCACTTTCAAAATAACATCTAGGACTGGAGGCTAGTTAATCAAGATTTTGGAAAATTAGAAAGTGTGTAAGTTTGACCACCAGGTGGCAATATTACTTTAGATTTGGGAACACATGGTGTTCAGTTTCTTCTATTAGTCAATTTTGTGGGTCAGTCAGGAACCTTGGGCAAAAGCATTCACTCTGTCAAGTATGACCCCAGAAGTAGCTGAGGGGATTTTTTGGTGACGTTAAACCACCATTATCACTTTTGATTCTTATACACTTTCTATCCCCAGAAAGGACCCCCCCCCCGTGCCATTTGACTTTCCCTCTTTGATTCACTTTTTCCACCTCGTTCCTCTCTCTTCTGCTAGGAGATCTAGCACCTACTGAATGCTCACTATGTGCCAGGCACTATGTTAAATGCTCTACATATCTGATCTCACTTAATCCTAGAATCCTTATGAAAGAGGATTCTTACTTTAATTTGCAAACAAAGAGATGGAGGCTCAGAAAGTTTGGCTGACTTGTGCTGGGTTCCAGAACTTGTAGGTGGTTGGCCTAGGATCCGAGCCTGCATCTGCCTGATACCATAACCCTGGCTCCTTTCACTCTATCACCTGCTTCTCAAGCTGAAGATGGCACCCAGGAGGGCTGCCAAGCTCCTCTGGCAGAATCCAGGCTGGAACAATCGCTGATGCTGAGACAGTTTATGGTAAATTGTTTTCCAAAAATTCTATGGAATAAAATACTCCTGCAACATTATCTCCATGTATACTAGTCAGGATGGACTGCTTCCACCTCAGGACCTACCACCCTTCAAAAAATGTTAGAGCAGTAGTAGCCTTTTCTTTGGATATGAGGTCACTCAGAACAGACTACATCTCCCAGTCTCCCTTGATGCTAGGTTCTGGCCAGTGACATCTAAGTGTAAGTGCTATGTGGTAGCTTCTGGAAATCTTCCTTGCACACATTTGCACACTTTGTCCTCTTTTTCTTCATCCCTTGTTCCATTCTGCTGCCTGGAAAGTAGATTCTGCCACCTCAGCTCATAAGGTCAAGGCCTATTTAGCATGGAGGAGCAACAGAGCAGAACGTCACAGACCACCCACACAAACTACACGTGGGAGGGAAACAGGTTCCGTCTTGTTTTATCCGCTGTTAGCTTGGGGTTGTCATCACTTGAGTTGAATCCAATTCTAAATAACTCTTTACCCAATTATTTCATTGAGTCCTCATGATGACGCTGTGAAATAAGAGCAGTTATGCCCAATTTATAGGTGTGAAAATTAAGGCTCAGGAAGGTCTTCCCACTATACCACACTGCCTCTTTGGGAATTGTTCATTCATCGTTAAATCATGAGAGAGGGCTGTCTAAGGCCCAGCTCTGTGCTAGTTAGGTGGGTGGCCCATTATCAATCCTAGACAAAGTGAGACTTCTCTGTCCCCTTTCACTGTCTCTGAAACCCCCAGAAGAGGCTCTCTGTGATGTATTCTGGAGTTCAGAACTCTAAACAGCATGCTGCTCAGAGCAAGACCACTGATGTCCCTGTGAAAGACAGGCTGCTGGCTCTGTGCATATGTGTGTGTGTGTGTGTGTGTGTGTGCAGGCACACGTTAGATACACGGCATAGGCAAGCTTTTTAATTAAGACTGTTAATAAGTGTGTAAATACATTGCATTTGAATATGCATCACAGCATTGTTTATAATGGAAAAAATTGAAAAACCAAATGTGTAGATTAGTTAAATAATTTAAGGTAAATCCAAACGGTGGAATGGTATGCAGATATTAAAAATGATGTAGATGTATATTTATTGACATGGGTATATGTTTATAATGTTATTATGTTATTAAGTGAAAAGAGCAGGTTTCAAGACAATGTTTTGAATATAATCTTGTCTGAGTGGGTGAAAACCAAATGGTATGTTGTTATAGCCAAGTGGTAACTTTTTTCTTCTTATCTGTGTCTTCTAATTTTTCTATAATGAGCATGTATGCCTTGTACAATTTTTTAAATGTTTAAAAACATTTTCTTATTAGATTGAATAAGAAGTGTTAAGTGGAAAATGAAGCTTTTGGTCAGTGGCTTTCTCCAGGTGGCAGCGACAGGGCCCTCAGGGAAGCCCCCGAGAAGAGGACCCAGGGAGCCTAGTTTAGTCCCTCACTCAGCTGTCAGTTTGTAATGTTAGTTGGCTGGAGACTCAGGAGGTACCACGTATTTCCCCAATCCCTGCTGTTGCAGGCAAGTTTAGGGCTCCCTGGTTTCCTGGGGCAGGGGGGTTGAGGTACCTGAGGGGGCGGGAGTCCCCCGGCACCCTCGGGGCACTCAGGCAGCATGGTGAGCTTCTCCCTGGTGCTGCACCTGCAGGAAGGTGAGGGGTTGTCTGGTGTCCATTTCTGCTCCTGGAATAGGCGGGTGATGTTTGGAGACACAGAAGGAGTCTGCCAGGGGGTTGAATTGCCACAGGGGTATTCCCTTAGGGAAGACAAGAAAATATTCCATAATTAGTTCTAAAGTTGATAAAAATCCCTAGAAATGAGAAATAGTGCCCGACCCTCTCCTTCTCAGCCTTTCCTCCCCCTCCTCAGACCCAGGCCCTTTCTTCTCATGCTCCTGTAGGTTAGTTTCTGTTCGAGAAATATTAAGACTCGGATTTTGTTGATGGACTAGGTAGGGGAAGTGGGGTAAAATTATCTGTTTGTGGACTGTTTTATCCCTCTTTTCTTATTCTAGAAGCTGTAGCTGTTGGGACACAGAATAAAAAGAAAAAGGAATTTAAAATTAGTCTATTTTGGTCCTTATAAATAGCTTTGAAAAGACCAAATGAGAGAAGTTAGAATCATTTTGAACTTTCAGGATTCCTGGTGGATTTCCACTGCCCTCTATAGCTCCCTTCTCCATACTCGTAACAATAATTGAGAGCTGGCTATGTACGTAGTTAATGCCATTCGAGATCCAATTATACAATAGCATATACCCCATCTCCCTCCCTTCCCTGTTCAGAAGCCTTTCAAGTAAGTTCCGGGGGGGGGGCAGCGGGGGGGTCATATGTTGAATTAACATAGAACTTCTGTAATGAGAAATACAGAGCTGTCCAATGATGCAAGGGCTTTCTAGAAGTAGTGAACATCCTTGCACGCAAGTGTTGAAGGAGAGGCTGGGTGAGTGCTGGTTGGAGATATGGAAGTGGTCCCTGCAATACAGAGCGGGATTGAGATGGGAGAAGCCCGCTCTCCCAACCCTGCTTTCCTGGACCCCACCATTGGGGTCTCCTGGGTAGCTGGTGGTGTTCAGGCCAGGATGCATAGACTTACGGAAGCCATTCTTCCTTCAGGCAGCGGTTGCCAAAGCCTGGCCTGTTCAGGAGGACGTCTGCAAGTACCACGAAGCGCTCACTTCCCGGCTCGTCCAAGCTAGAAAGAGACAGAGGCTCACAGGGTGGACATGTGACAGGGACAGGGAAGGCCAAAGCAGCCAGCTGCAACTCAAAGTGTTTATGGAATGGCTATGATGTGCCAGGCATGCACGTGAGGCACTGATGTGGCCGTCGGGTGGTCACAGGTCTGGGAGTGGGGTAGGCTGCCTGCACACCCCCAGCAGTCAGATGGCAGATCGTGTCTGTGCTTTGACCCACTCACCCAAGCTTCATGTTCTCCTTCCTGCGCCCCTTCTCAAGCAGTCCTGATTGCCACTTGGGATCGCCTTTCCAGGCATGGCAGCTACAGTAATTTCCTTTCTGAGGGCAGCTTCAGGACCCCTTCCATGCTGGTGAAGGTCCAGGGGCAGTGCAGAGGTCAGGACCCTTCCATGCAGCATGTGACCCAGGAGCCCACACCCATGAAGGTGAATGGTGACTTGGGGATGAGTCTGCGCACCTGAAGAAGGTGTATTGCTGCCCATACATCCACGGATGGAGGGTCAACGAGGAATATTCACCAAAAGGAGGGATG